AAGGAGGTGGGGGGAAGAAGAAGGAACTCGACAAGTGCCTTGTCCCTGGATGCAACCGGAAGCACTCTTGGAAGGAGTGTTGGAGCCGACCAGATGGGTGGAAGCCTCAAGGGTACCCAGGAGAGGCTCCACCTGTCACTAGGCCTGAATGGGTGGAGAGGAGGATGAAGAATGGAGCATGGAACAAGAAGGGCAGCAAAGAGAAAGCGGCAGCAGCGGCGACAAACGAGGATAAGAAGGGAAAGGAGGACTCATCGGATGATGGCTTCGCCTTCTTATCCTTGGAGATAGAGACGGCGCTTGCTGGTCGTACGTTGGCTGACCCCAATCAGCTCATTCTAGACTCCGGAGCAACCTGTGGAATGGTGCCTCGGCGCGACCTCTTCACCATCTATCACTCCCTCCCACCTAACTCCAGAAATGTGATTGTGGGGAGCGGAGATAAGCTACAAGCAATCGGCATCGGCACCATCACCGTCAAAGGGAAGGAGGGGGAGGTGCTGAATGTGAAGGGTGTGCTTCATGTTCCTGAATTGGCAGCCAACCTTCTCTCATGCTCTCAGCTTGCGAAGCAAGAATACATATGCACCTTCACCATGGAAGGTGGCACGGTTTGCAAGGGTGGAGCTGTGGTGATGGAGGCCAAGTTAGAGAAGGGTCTATACCTTGTTCCAGTTTGTGTGCCTCAGGTGGAAAGGGCACATGGGGTTGAAGCCGAGGATGCCGCTTGCAGCACCCGTTGGAAGGATGTGGAGCAAGTGACGGCAGATTTGCTGCACCTACGCATGGGGCATGCAGGAAGGCAGCAACTTGTGGAGTGTGTGAAGAAGGGGGAGCTGAAGGGTGTGGAGATCAAGGAGGGTGGTGGGCAGCCAAGCAAGTGCCCTGATTGCACGACCGGGAAGCTGCCAAGGACCTCTTTCCCTACCTCCACCACTAGAGCCTCCGCACCTCTTGAGTTGGTGCACACGGATGTGTGTGGCCCCATGCAAACACCGGATAGGGAGAAGGGCAGCAAATACTTCATCACATTCCTGGATGACTACAGCCGCCTCAGTTGGGTCACCTTGGTGAAAACCAAGGATGAGGTGGCCAAGGTGTTCAAGCGTTGGATACGCTATGCGGAGAGGGAAGCCGGGGCCAAGGTGAAAATACTACGGTCTGATCGGGGTGGGGAGTACATGGGGAAGGATCTGGAGTCTTTCCTTGAGGATAAGGGCATCACCCACCAACTTTCAGTTGCCTACTCGCCGCAGCAAAATGGAGCAGCGGAGCGGCTTAACCGGACCCTCATTGACCTTGCCCGAGCCATACTTGCTCATGCACAGCTGGACCATACTTGGTGGGGGGCAGCAGTGCAATATGCCAACTGGGTCAAGAACCGGATGGGCAGCAAGGGGCTAGGGGGCAAGAGCCCATACTTCATGTGGACCAGGAAGGTGCCTAGTGTGTCCATGGCACGAGTCTGGGGGTGCATGGCGCAGTACAAAGTGCCCGACCAGCAACGGAGGAAGCTGGATCCCAAGGCACAATGGGGCATTTTCCTTGGTGTGTCGGAGAGGAGCAAAGCTTGGATGTTGTGGAGTGTGGCGGATCAGCGGGTGGTGGAAAGCCGGGATGTGGTTTTCCATGAGGGGCTGAGCTACAAGGGGTGGAAGGAGCATGGTGCTAGTACAGTTGGGAGCTCCCTCCAGGATCCCTACACCTCTTCCATTTTTGAGGGGACATGGGAGGACCCTGGAGAGGAGGTAGAGGAGCAGCAGGAGGAACACAAGGCAGCTGCACCTCACCATGAAGATTCCCCAACTGCTGGTTCCACCCCTGACCCGAACAAACCAGCCCATGAACCGTCGCAGCCCCAAGAGCAGCGGCAGCAGCAGCCGCAGCAGCAGCAACAGCAGCAGCAGCAGCAGCAGCAGCAGCAGCAGCAGCAGCAGCCACCACAGCAGCATACACCGCCTATTGCTGTGGGAAGGTGGCAGCAACTATTGCAGCAGCAGCTGTCCAAGTCACCACGGTCCCCCATGAAGAGAGTGACTTGGAAGGAGAAGCTGCAAAGTTTGGAGCAGGGGGAGGCATCACCTCTGCGCCGCACCACACGCATCTCCCGGCCACCTGACAGGTTCACACCAAGCGCACAGTATGCTTGCATGCATGATCATGAGGTGCATGATTTGGAGGAGTGCATGCTTGTGGATGCTGAGGGGGGTGAGCTTGGGCTTGATTTTTGTCTCATGGGTCAGGTGCATGAGCCTAAGTCGATCAAGGAGGCCTTGTCCCGTCCTGAGTGGGTCGAGTCCATGCGTGAGGAGCTTGAGTCTCATAGGGTGAACGAGTCCTTTGAGCTGGTTGATCCAGCTTGTGTGCCACCTGGAATGGAGGTCT